AGAGCCAAGTTCTTCTCCCTGCACTGAGTTGTCACAGAGGATCTCCTTGATGCTATTAACGGCTTCTGTGGTGTTTGCCTCATCAAAGAAAAGAACTGAGTCAAGATCATGATTCTCTTTATTGGTCCTTGCAAGAGTTTCAGCTTCCTTCACTTTCTCATAAATCATTTCTGATGTAGTTCCTCCATGAATTTTGACCAGTTTCATGTTTTCTGCTGGTGCTCCACATCTTCTTAGTTCACACATAAATTTTATCAGCCTTGTTTTACCACATCCTGTCTCCCCCATTATGATGACAGGAATGCCACACCTGAATCTCATATGAATTGCCATCATTTTGAGGATATTGTCGGTGGTCAATTCATATGTTTCATCAGGATCTGTTGGCCACTTGACGCCAAGCACACTGCACAGATGCTCAATCTTGTCAGCTCTAGGAAACTGATCAAAGTCTGCATTAAAAGGAACTCTCTGAAGTTTTAAGCCATTGTACAGCTGTCGAGTCATGATGTTTTTCTTAATCACTTCTTTTGTCAAAGGATTTACTGCATCAAACCCTTTCTCGTTATTGGGCTTAAGGTGAAATCCAATGAATGTCATGGACATGTGGTCGTCATTAAAAAAGATGTATGGATGTGGCTCTGATTCCCACCTTTTTCTAATGAGGAATGGAGCTAAATCTTTTTCTTTTAGTCCACTGATGTCAACTTGTTGCTTCCCTGGGCTCTGGTCAGTGATGCATAGTGATGGTGTTGCAAAGTCTTTGGACATCAAGATCATGAACTCAACCACAAAGTTTTTGAACCCACAAAGAGTGTCTCCAACCAACTCAAATTTGCAGAAATCCGAATTCTCACAGTCTTTCAACTGAAGATTAAGGAACCACACAAAGTTACGTAGCTCTGCCCATGATGGATCTATTATACCACAATAGATTAAGAGTATCTGAAGACACTTTGCATGAGTCCCTTTAGTACCCTGGAACGTGAAGTTGTCAAGATTGTCCTTATTGTGAAAATGTGTGAGGTACTGGTATGGCCTTTGATAAGCTTCACTTCTGAAACATTCATCATCCATCAGGGGGCCACCACAGTCCATGTCTGGAATTTCTTCTTTTTGCATTTCCAAAGCCATAACCTTTTTTGGTGGGTGGCAAAACAGCTTTGGGAAAACATCTGAGAATGCAAAATTTTCGTTTCGACCCTAAAAGTATACAAAATAAAAAATGTTTAAAACAATCAAATCTATCCTCATTAAAAATAAATAAAAAGAACTGAATAAAAAGGTCAGTATCCAAGGTCAGTATAAACGGCGCCCCATAGTATCCATGGATCATAGAAATATGAAATATAGACAATTGCTGCATGTATAAAAGGCTCAGACATTTTCCGTTTTCCTGCAATATTGTTTCAAATGAGGTTATAGGAAATGACGCTGGCATAAGTTTGATGTGCTACGCTGGAAGAGATAGTACTTCTGGGTTAGCTTGTTATCACCTCATCCTGTAAACTACACTCCTGTTTGCAATCCTTAACGGTGATGCTCTGAGTGTTTTAGTTAATGAAGGTCAGTTACATTAAATCAGTTTATTTCCAACCTGGATTTGCTGAGTCTTGAATTTCTTTGCATTGGGTTGTAGCGGCACATTTTCACATTGTGAGTGAAGACGTGCCACCAGCTGCTGCCGTACGGTGGCAGTTTTATTTGGCCACATAATTGCGCCAAAGTACTTTTTGTGATAGTTTGAGCCAGGAAATGTCTGTACTTATAGTATGGCACTACGATTGTGTTGAAGTTGAGTTCTCTGTGTGTTTGAACCTAGTGATGTAATATTTACATAACTTGAGTTATTACATTGTAACGGACCAGTTTACAAGTTAGTTTGATTGTTGTGTTATCAGTGTTATTGTGTTCAGAATTGCCACTCACTTATAGCATAGTTGCTCCAGACTGGCAGCAATGTGATTTACCGAGTGTCCTTGAATGTATGGATTGGATTTATATAGCGCTTTTCAAGGCACCCAAAGCGCTTTACAATGCCACTATTCATTCACTCTCACATTCACACACTGGTGGAGGCAAGCTACAGTTGTAGCACAGCTGCCCTGGGGCAGACTGACAGAAGCGAGGCTGCCATATCGCGCCATCGGCCCCTCTGGCCAACACCAGTAGGCGTAGGGTAAAGTGTCTTGCCCAAGGACACAACGACCAGGACAGAGAGCCCGGGGATCGAACCGGCGACCTTCCGGTTACAGATACGCTTCCCAACCCCCTGAGCCAGGTCGCCACAATATAGTATAATAGTATAATAGTATAGAGCCGTTAAGCCTGTCAATCATATCAGCTACGTATGACAGAGAGTCTGTAAGTGAGCATGCTTGTAGTTGGCTGAGAGTTTTTGGGGGGTGGGTGTTAGAGAGTGCGTTGTTGTTGGTGTGTGCGGGAAAAAGAAGGATGTTTTTTCTTTTTTTTCAATTCTTGAGAGAGCATTTTTCCTGTTGTATTTGGCGTTGGCGACGGCCCACAGTAGCCTCTGTTACTGTTCCTAATAAACAGTCGGTAAACAGAATACCGATCGTCTTTGTCTTCTGTTGGACGGACACTACAATATATTATGTTGTGGACGTGTGTGTACAGATGGATGTTTAGGTTTATGTGATTAGATATCTTTAAGTTTATATTAGCTGAACCACTGTTGCTGTAATATACTTGGCCTAATGCTAACTTATTTACAGGTTACAATAAACCAGCTGACTTCAACAGTTAAGCAAAGTCTTCCTGTCCTTCCTGTATTCTGACCGATACGCCATCTTGTTGGCTGCTAAACCTAAAAGAACTAGTCCTAACCTACTACTCCTGCACTTAAGTCAAGATATAGGTATAACTGTTCCTTCAAAAAAAACAACAACCTAAATGCTAAGACTATGGCATATTTTTTTTCTACCTATTTACCTATCTATTTATTTCTATCTATTAAGAATCTTATTTCATTGAACATGGAAGGATTTTGATGAAATATCAAAAAACCAAATAAATTATAACTGTAACATAACTATAATATAGCGTTGGATGATTTCATAAGAAGAATACTTCACTAAAAGTAATACCTCCACTTACCAATCTGGTATCACATCTGTTCTGATCATTTGTGGACTCCAGTAACTCAATAACATATAAGTGGTTCTGGCTGCATTGCCACATCTGTCCATTTGAATCCATCAGGTACCGCAAAAAGAAAAGCTTGAATATGAATTCATTCAGGCCCTTTTGCACCTGGAAACGAGGTGTTAGAAAATAAGTCTGTGTTACTAAATAAAGCAAATTATGACCAGCTAAGGGATTTGATCAGAACCACAATATACATTTAAATAAATAAACTTATATTTCACTACAGTTACATTAAATTGCTTACCGAGGACGTGACATCAAAGTGAAACACCTTAATATCTTTTTGTTTTGGTGTGTCATATAAAAACGGGAGAATCTTGTGGTCGTCAACTTCATGTTCAGTTAGCCTGATGCACTTCTTAAAGGCTTTTCCTTCGTCAACACTTCTCTCAAGTTTTTCGTACAACCTTTGGACATACAGCGACTTGCCTAAAATAGAAGAAAAAAACAATAACTGGTTGACAGAAGTCATAGCATTAATAATAACTGAATATGAATGACAAATTATTTTATTTCTAGGAAGCAATAACTGTGTTATCACAAGACCAAAACCAGATCTAATTCTGCATCCTGTTTTCTATATAGACACTGTAACGTAAAACTATTTCCAAAAGTGGACAATTGGTGCTTTTGCTATATTGTTCAACTTGATTGTCATAGTTTATTCGATCTTTATTATTTATTTATTGTACTTTTAACTCTCTCCCCATTTTCCTCTCTCTCTTTCCCATCCCCCAGTCCTGTCCATTTTGATAGTAACAGCTTAACAGAAGGAGAGTGAAAGAAACATAGAGGAGAAGGGAGAGAAAAAAGACACTGAAAATCTGTTTGATCACCTGCTAAAACAAAAAAACAAGCAAAAAGAAAACATAGTAGGCAAACCACAGCAACAACCAACATACAGTAAATAATAAATATTGAATGTTACTGTGCAGCATACCTGTTTGCAGTGTTGAGAAGAAGAACTTTTAAAATGTATTCCACTACAGATTACAGAATACATGCCCCAACATTG